TATATATATATATATATATATATATATATATATATATATATATAAAGAAACATGGAGATGGATAAAGAAGCAAGATATATACCTCTAAGCTTCATGTCCATTGCTTTGTTGCCTAAACCCTCCATACGTCCATCTCTACCCTTCCCGGTAATTGTGTTCTGTATGATGACATGAGGTGGCCACATAATGAGATCATCCCGGTCAGCGCCAGCTTGTTGGCCAGATAATCGCTGATATGACCTGGAGTTATCAGGTGGCATCATGTGGTTCCAGCTCATCAAAATGCACAAAGCCTTGTGAAGACCCAAATGCTCAGCAACTTCTTTTTCTTGGTTGTATGTGTGCATGATAAGGCTATGCATGTCTGGGAAATCTTTCGAGGACCTGAATTTGCATAAAACGGCTCATTTCAATTTCCTTCCACCCTAAATCATGCTATGAATAATCTCCATAACAAACAACACATGGCTATGACTATGACTATGGGTATCATATCATTTAATGTCGACTACTAAACGTCACTTGACTGCTTATTAGAGTTAGCTTAAAGCTTTTTAGAAAATCAAACACACATAAGACCAAAATAACCTTCAAATCATAGTTCAAAAAACAAAAAGAAGGAGAAACAGTCAAACAGACATACCCTTATATCCAACATTCAAAAACCCTACCAGAAAACAAAATATATCTAAGTAGACATGTAAAGATCATAGAAATCCATAATACCATAAGCCATTTTGGTTAAGATATGTCCAACTATATACTTGATCAAGAATATACAATAAGTGAAGCACATGCTTCTAATCTTTATCTTTTCCACTAATATGCATATGTGCACAATTGTTACCACACCATGTTGTCCTAATGACAACAAATGGTTCGGTGTTATTTCTATGCATATAAATCATTATACTAAAAACTTATATTTCAGCATCAAATATAAGATGGTAGATGTTAAAACTAGATACCAAATACCATTAAAATAAATCAACACTAAAATACTTAAATTATTGCCTACTATTATAGGTAATAGTACTATTTTGAGAGACAACATTGTTTTTCATCACAGCAAATAATGTCATTGATAAAAACAGTTCTAACTAACTTGTATGAAGTTTACAAATAATACTTTTCTTACAGAAAAATACCGAACTGTATCAAACACTGTCTCACAATCACAAAACAGCTATAAGTAGAAGTTAAATAAGTAACTGGATGGAATATTAAATTTGACCTCAATAGTCGATCTATAAAATAGAAGACATGCATGTCATTCAAATTGGAGTAATTATAATGAAAGTTGGTCTAAAAGGGCTGGTCTAAGAATCTATAACCTGCTGTAATCTAGGGTTAAAAACAGGTAGAAATGGCTCCAATTCAATTGATTTCACTCACATCTGAATGATTACTGAGCACTATACTTAGATCTTAATCTCATTACAACAACTTTCACCAAAAAACCCTTGAGCAACATATAATCACATATGAATCCTTTTTTAAGACCTAAAAACAGTATAGAGAACCTAGCAGCAACCAGCATGTGCTTCAGGAGAGATGGAAGAAGTAACGATTAGAGATACAATGTTAACAAATCTCTATATTACTTTACTATGTTAACAAACCAGAACTTTGTGTCTAGGATAGAAAGCCCGATCAGAGCCACTCAATCAATCTACCCCTTAAAGGTTTAAAAAGACACCAAAATACATTTAAGAAACTAGCTCTAAAACACAAATTTCTCCAATATAGATATGTTAGATTCTATTAAGCAAAGTAATGGCTATATGAAAATAAAAAAAATACTGATAAGTTCCTCAGCAACTAAACAAGGCTAAAGTTTAGCATCTCCATAACTAAGCAAATTGACTCTTGAAGGAGATTCACATTATGTAACTAACTAGAAAGCCAACACAACTAAAACAATATCTATGTGCCCTTGAACTCCTGCAAGAGAATTATAGAAATTCATAAGACCATAGCCATTGAGATAAATCCAACTATAAGTTGATCAAGAATATACTCTTACAGTCTTACTTATACACTTGTTATCGTGCCATGCCCATGTTGTCAAAATGGCAACAAAAAATTCATATTCTGTTATTTCTATGTATATACTAAAAAATTTATACAACGCTATAACACCAGCTGTCATATATAAGATGGTATATATATATATATATATATATATATATATATATATATATATATATATATTACCATGTGTTATTCATCTACACTATTGTACTTTTTGTTACAGTAAACTAGCAAATTGTATCAGACACTATCTCACAAGTCACAATCACACAACAGCCACAAGTAAAAGTTAAAAGAAGTAACTGAAATAATTAATTAAAACCCAATAATCAACCTATAATAAAGAAGACATGTATATTACTCAATGTAGAGTATTCCAAGAATTGTATGGAAAGAATCTAAAGGTTTACATTCTTGAGTAATTATGATGAAAGCTTTAAGGCTTAGTCAGAGGCTCAAAGCTACAATTAAGCAAAACCTGGTGTAAGAATTTGCAACCACCAAGAACTTTTACAAACATTCTAAACTATAACTTGTCACAGTTTGTTACTTCTATAGTTCTATGTATGATGTAAATAAACAGTATATTGAAAACTTATATACTGCTACCATTTCAGCATCCTATATAAGATGGTAGATATTAGAACTAAATACTAAACACCATTATGATAGATCTAAGTTGTTGCCTATAACATAGATAATAGTACTATGTAATACTATATAAAAC